ACTACTCTGTGCTTTGGTCTGTTCTAATGCTCCCTCACTGCTTTCCTTTCTCCCCAACGCGCCATGGCCCCACCAAAAACAAATAAATAATACTCCGGGTAAAATGCAAGATAATTAAGTAATTAATTTAAATAGATTAAAAATATTAATTAAATTAGTTAACATGGTAGTATATTTTTATTAAAACACTTAAATTAGTTAATATGATATTTTTTTTCTAAAATACCTTAATTATTTTTCTTAATTTTTTCCCTTTCTCTCCTACTTAATTATTGTTCAAGAAATGTCAATAAGGTAATTTTAAAAAAAATTAATAAACATATAAAATAGATCTTATATATAAGATCAACATCAACTCTCAAATTATATTTTACATTAAGAACGGAAGAGTAATAAAATAAAAAATTGAAAAAAGAACTTTGATAACATATTTAGATTATATTTAGATTATGTAAACCATTGCATGATATTTATATATTACTTCTGATCCTTAATATAAGAGTTTGTTTAATTTTTATTTTGGTTTTAAATATAAAACTCTAATTCACTTTGTCTCTTATATTTATCTATTTTTTTTCAAAGTAGTCTTTATAATAATAGTAGTTCTAGTTAATATACTTGATTAGTAAGGATATTTTAGAAAAAACAATATTTATTTATTATAAATAACTAATTTAACTAGTTTCTTTAATTTACTCAAATTAGTCAACTATCTTTTATATTAAGAACCAGAGGTAATATTTGATTATATACACATTTGAATTTTCTATAAGAAGCAGGTTGCGTGTCGGATTTCACTTATAGTTTCAAGTTGTTACTATCTGCTCGCCTAATTTTTAAAAAATGTCTTAAAAAAATAATTACAAAATAGGTTTTAAAGTTATTTTTTTTAACTTTGTAACTTGTTATAACATATTGCTCAAGTTGTTATTCAGATTTTTTAGTTTTTTTTTTTGAGATCTCATTGTAATTCTCTTTTTGAAAAAAGTATAGTTCATTTTATAATTTCAAAATGGTTAATATTTACTCCTTTAACTTTTTTAAAAAAATATGATATACTATCTTCGATATTTAATATAAAAGTTAGTTAAATATTTAATTTGATCTTAAATATAAAATCTTAATTTATTTAGTCTCCAATATTTATCCATACCCCAAGTAATCTATATGGTGTTACATATATTAAAGAGTTTCTATCAATGATAATTTTGAGATATAACATCTATTTATTATAAATAACTAGTTTAATTAATTTTTTTAATATTTGTAAATTAATTATGTAACTCTTATATTAACAATTAGAAGTAATAGTAGTTATTACTTATTAGTTTTCAAAGTCCTAAATGGATGCGTGAAGTAGCTTCTAATAGGATTAACTCACGGTCTTAATATTTGGTCTAAAGCACAAAAGAACAAACAAATTGAAAGATGGGCTTTGCACTCCCCACAGAGAGAGAGAGAGAGAGAGAGAGGGAAGACCACTCTCACTTCCCACACAACAAATCAAACTACAATTTTTCTTTGAAATAACCAAAATATTCTAAATTATCACGTCCTTTAATTATAAATAAATTTAATGTGTATTTATCAAAATGCCATAAATTTAGGGGGAAAAAAAATCCTCCTCCCCGTGGTTGTCGACCATCTGGTGGAGACTATCTCCAAAGTCACTGCTAATAGAAGTATTAAAGGTTGGCCTGTTTGGGACGAGAAAAAAAAAAGGAGACCGTGATCTTTTTTTCCTTTTCCTTTTTTTTTTTGAGGAAAGACGACAAGCCGTAGCTTGGAGACAAAAACGAAAAATAAAGAAGCTATAAAACGAACAAAAAGCGACGAAACTACGGGGAAGCAGCAAGCTTCTGGCTCAGACACCCTGTTGGTCTTCCAGCGCCAAAAAGATCCATTATGCCCTGTTCTCGCCAAAAAGAGACAGTGATCTAACAGGACGAGGAAAAAAACAACACCGGGACCTAACGGTGGTAGCAGTATATTTCTTTTTTTTTTTTCCCCAATTCTATTTAGATTTATTTGAACCTTGTGGCTTTTTTTTTTTTTTTTAGTGAGAGAACCTTGTAGCTATTATTTGAATCAATTTGCATCCTGTATTTTGAAAATTGTGGCTCTCAGTCTGTTCAGACTTCATATTTATTTGGCTCAGTTTATTGGTTATTTTTTTACTTTTCTATTGCTCATTTTATAGATTATATTTATTTGGGTTTTTGTTCAACAGGACTAAGCCCAAAAAAATAAATAAATTGATGCTGGTAGGAGGGCTAAGCCCAAGCAACTCAAAACAGGAAAAAACACCACAAAACTCATTGGAATGAGCCCAATCACTAGACAAAAATCAAACAATGTGGGACGTCATGGTCTTGTCTTGTCTGGGACCGAGACAATACCAGGACAAGATGGGACGGGACACAAGATATATTTATATCCCTTACTGTTCATCGGGATAGGATCAGATGGGTCTATTCTGGTCCCGTTCTGTGAACAGTTCTAATTGCTAAGTCTAGTATTAAGATAAATATTGGCACAGTGGTTTTGGTGGGACTTAAACAATGGTTTTTCTGGTTATCCAAAAACTTTTATGACCATTGAGCTGTTGAATCCCCTTAATAATGTAATGCAAATTATTATATATAATAAACTTGAGTAATTGTCTTATAAAGAGTAGTTGCTAATTTGCTATGTTGAAATTGTCGATTCTTGCTGAGTAGCTAGTAGATTTGTCAATGTAAAAAAGATAGTTATAAACACAGTTAGTTGTGAATTTGTTGAAATTATTGGAATTAATTGTCAATTAACTATAAAGAAGTTGTTAATTTCATAGGGGACTTGCCAATGGAGTTGTCATCTTCATTTGCGAATAACTAAACTTCTGAAAAGCAATTGTAATTTGCTATATTAACGTTATCAGTTTTTGCTGCGAAGTTGTCAATTAATTGCTGCGTATTTGTCACTTGAATGATTCCCCTTACTACCGAACAAGAATTGATTCAAGGAAGAATCTCTATTAAATCCAACTAAAACGCATAAATTCAAATATAGATCTATACTTTTAACAAATTTCTAATTAGGCCATGAGATCTCATTAAGAATTTTTTAATGTTGTTAAATGATCAAAATGTTTTCTTTAATTTAAAAGAAAAATTGATTATTTTATTCATTCTATATGTTTCCCCATCTCTTATGATTATTTTTTGGTACTAATAAACATATAAGTACTTTAATCAACTAGAACCTTCAAAAATATTTTGATCAACCATTTTAAATTACATTATAAATACCCTTTAGCTAAAATTGTATTTTCAGGTTCTAAATATTTATTTTAAGATTTTAAAATATCTTAATTACAAGAAATATTTAATATTAAGTTGGTGTAAATTACGTTTTTGGATAGGAATCCTAAATTATAAGAACATAATATTTAAAACCTAAAAATACAAAATATTTAGCTAAAGGGTACCCATAATGTAATTTGAAATATTTTATTAGAATATTTTTGAAGCTTTTAGTTATATATACAGATTTTAAACACTATAAAAATTTGATAGGAGTAAAATAATCAATTTCTCTTTTTAGTTAAAGAAGAGTATTTTTTTTCCGTCGCAGGTATTCTCTTATTGAAGGTAATCCTAATCGAGATATTGTCGGGCACTCTAGACTCAACCCCTTATTACTTAAGAGGAGTAAAATAATCAATTTCTCTTTCAGTCAAAGAAGAGTATTTTAGTCATTTAATAACATTAAAAAAATTCTAAATTAAGCCTCATGACCTGATTAAGAATTTGCTAAAAGTATAGGCTTTAATTTAATGGGATAAGGTATATCCAACACCTTGAAGTGTTTTCTCAAATACATCTAGTACCTTAAAATATTTTGTAGTGTATCTAGCACCTCGAGACGCATCTTGATTTATTTTTTTTGCCTTGGTGCTGGTGCACCAAAAAATATTTCAGTGTTAGACACACCTTAAAAAAAAATACTTTGAGGTGTTGGATGCATAAAAAAGTATTTTACGGTACTAAATGCACCAAAAAAAAATATTTTAGGGTGCTAGATGTATCACAAATATTTCATGATACTAGATGCACTTGAAAAAATATTTTGGGGTATTGGATATATCTTAACCCAAATTTAAATTTAAGTATTTAAGCTGGTTTCCGTGATTCAATATTGTAAATTGAATAACCACTTTTTAGGAGTTAACTCAATTGAACACGAAGATGAAAACTATTGATGACAGCTTTCCTCTTAAAATTAGCAACTTCTTTATAGTTAAGGTTGTCAATTAAACAACTTCACTAACATATTAATGGAACTATTATGGTTAACGGTATTTTGGTAAGTATATACAAAACTTATTTACAATTAAAGGACATGGAGCTTCAAAATATTCCGGTGATTTTAAGAACTTTTATAGTTTAAGTTGTGTAGGATGAGGACCCCCCCCCCAAAAAACAAAAACCAAAAAAACACATTATATTGATACACACAACACACTAATTATAAGTAAAATTGAATCCGCAATTTTCACTTTGAAAGCATCACTAAGCTGAGCCTTTTGCACGTAAGAGGGATTTAGATGGGCTCTTTTAAGCATAGAAAACTAGTAGAAATCGGTCTAATCAGCACAGCATTTATAATTTGAAACCAAAAAAAGGCACAGCATTATAGTACTGGCCAGTGTCCCAGAGCCTGTAGAATAGACAAGGGACAAAGCCCACAGGAGCCTAGTCTTTTGCCCACATCCCATGAACCCATAGCCATACGTTAATAGTGAAGCCCAAGGCTGAAATCAAGGCACCGTAAGGAAACGCCTCACTAAACAATTCCCACACAATGTCTCTCGTAAGATTGCTTTCAATAAGAGAATACTTATACATAACCAGGAAAAAAAAAAAACCTATAGAATAGGTGAGTATTGGCTTATTGAATTCCAGAAGGTCCAGTAACAGAAATATTAATGCAATAATTATAATAATATCCAGTGGAGGAGCAAAACAGCAGCCTTTGCAAAGGCTTCTCATTCAGTCAGTACTTGGTGGCAAAAGGAAATATAATTTTAAATACAAAAAATAAAGAACAAAATGGAGAAACTTGATGGTACTAACTAAGCTACAAGGACGCATCTCTCTAATCACTAGTTCCTTGTATTGTTCCACAAACCAACCTATAAGATTTTACACACGGAACAAAAAAAAAACTGCAGACCTGTACTTGATTGTCCTATACATCTATGCGTGTATTTACATGGCAGGGCAGCCACAATGCTTCCTATCAGGACCAGAATAAAGCCTCCTTTTCAGGGTATATTTGGTTTCACGATAGTAACCACCAAAACCTTAATTTCACAAAGTGAAATCAAGTAATTGCGTGATTCCACCAAAATCATGGTTTTGGTGGGTATTCAACGTGAAACTAAACACATTAAATAGTTGAATCACCAAAACTTGACAATATACACGTGCATGTCTGATATTCCTGTCTGTTTCCTGTCAAAAACCTGATTCATGAGCCCAAAAAGCATCGGGATCTGGGCAGTATAGAGAAAAATCTTCGATTTCAAGATTAGCTATATGCCAATTGACAAAGCGAGCTTGTACCAACTTGAAGAGCAGCAATATGGTTGGCAAAAGCCAGCACTCATCATCTTCCCTGCAAGTGAATGCATTAAAAACTCAGTGGAAAATATAAAAGATAATTGAAGTTCTAGAAGAGACAAAAGAGCAGACCAAAATCCTCAAAACCAGTTCACACAATTTAATGGCAAAGAAAATCTCCTAGGGCCTTAATAGCAATATAAACGTGACCAACAAAACATTTTTTTAATATCTATTACTGCTAAAATGATGTGAGCAGCATCATGAGAACATCAAATAATCATCACTCCTGTATATCTCTAAAACCTGTAGTAGCCTGTGGCCTCGAGGGGAAAAAATTATAATAGCCAAATTGCATATCAGTATGTACTATGCCTTCTTCGAAACAAAGGCCATAGCTAAGTAATTAGGCACTTCCGTAGGAGTATTTCCATTTATATAACTGGCACTTCCACTATTAATCTCTACTTTCACCAGCATTTGCATGAACATTAGGAAATTCAATATGATAGTAAAAAGGAAAAAAAAAAGCTTAAAGGTATAAAACTAAAGCATTTACCAAGCAGATAATGACATAGGCTACAGACTGCTAAATATGACCATCTTCACCATCGCGTTGGATTGAAACCTTAAGCTGATAGGACCGTTCATTGCAATCTAAATCAACAGTGAGTATATCATATTGTATGATACCTTTCTATCGCACTAATTCACAGGGACTTCTACTCATCTCCAAGGGGGTTTAACAAATTAAACATTTTTTTCCAATCAATTCTATCATAGAAGATATTCATAGAAATTTATTCAACAGTCATGCCCATTTACAGCGTATAACATCGATTTTTTCTTGTTATATCATTGCTGCTTCTATGACTTTATGGCATTCACTTCTCCACATTTTATTCAAATAAATCTTGTTCAAGAGATTACTTGAGAAAATTGCTTGGCTGATAACAGGTACAACAACATCCATGAATCACAGGGGACTACACCAAATCAAATACGGCAAGAAACTGCTTGGAGTCTAGGGACATGAATATCTTTCTCCTTGTTGACCATATAAGCCTAAAAAATTCACTCACTCACTCATTCATTCTTCTTTTAAAGAAAAGGAGGCTAAAGAAAAATCTCAACTGAAACAACACTAAGGAACACTCCTAAAGTATTCTCCACCACAAGATCAAATCAACCAAACGACGAGTGGGAGATATTCTTCAACCCAACTTCAACATATGTGACAGACCAGCCAGCTAGTGGAGAAGTTCACTAGAATCTTCACAATAAGAATTCTTACACCTTTCCTAAACATTGAACTACATGATGTCAACCTTCTTGGAGGATTTTTCTTTTTCTTTCTTTTTTTTTTTCCCAGCAAAAAAGTATGTTAAAGACCAAACATGACATTTTTCCTCCAGATAATTACCACCAAAAGAAGAGAGAGAAAACCCTTCATGCAGAGTAGTTCAATGAGAAAAAAAGGATCCACCATCATGTTCGAGTATAAGGGATAAATATATCATGTTAAAATATAACAGTCAACTTCTTGAAACTGTCTCCACAGATGTGGGTCAAAACAAGAGCAGCAGTCAACTTCTTGAAACTATGCCTACACAGGTGTGGGTCAAAACAAGTCTTAGTTGTTCGTCAAAGATGTCATTGGTGTTCAGGAAGAGCCTTACCTCTTAATATTCCATGTATCGGTCTCATCAGGCTGGTGTAAATGGGATAATGCATAGTGAATGAGGCAACAAACAAAAGCCACTCCCTGCATAATAGTCAAATAGTCAGCCAAAAGCATGGAGTACAGAGTATATAATAATTTAAACACCTTAAGAAGTCAAGCATTTAATATGTCTAGAATGGCACGTGTCATCCTTAAACCTGTAATCAAATGGTTATAAGGCCTTTCAGCTCCTGTGAGATGGGATGATGTGGGCATTTCTATTGGGTTTGCCACTGGGTTTTGAGCAACAGAGCAAGGGTTATTTAGAGAGATTGAAGGCATTCACTTCTGGATGTAGAAGTATCTCAACTTTCTTTTGGGTCATGATGCAGTGTAATGATATATTTATCTATGCATTTTTCTTTTTGCTATGAACAAAGGTTTCAGACATCTAAATTTAAATTATTACAGGCAAAAGAATGCTGATACTGGCATTTTTAAAAAATAAAAGAAAATGCTGATGCTGGAGAGAACAGTTTTGTGCGCCATCATTTTATTTGGGTCATAATTAATATCTATATATAAAACATTTTGTGAAATAAAAAGTCAAAGCAGCATCAGTATCAAACTTCTTGTAGCACAATAAGTTCCAGTAAGTTTTTTCATGCATTTTGTGGAAATATAAGAGTATATTGAAAGAGAGTATATAATCTATTTGTACAATATTTTTCATATTTTGACCATGATTTGACCCCAGAAAAAAAATCGATGACCTGAGATAAGCTCACAATTAATTTATTTGTAGCACTATACCATATCAAAGGTCCAATGAAAGCAGAATTCCAACTGATGCTAGCTTGCTACTTCTCATCCGCACAACACATGCAATATATTATAGCAAACTACAAGCACAACTTACAATATTTGATAAAGAAGTGGCATTCCACAATGCATATACTCGAGAAAGTGAAGCTCTTCTTGGTTCTTTACTGAATAAAGCATTCAAACCAGCAGGAAACGGTGACAGTAGGGAAAGAGGAAGTATTAGCAAAACACAGAGAAAAGCTGCGAGAGAAATCCAGTAGAACTGAAGCAACATGAGCAGAGTGACTGAAAGATCTGCTAAAAGCATGAGAGTTATCAGCAGCTGCACTGTGTCCTGGCATGGGCATGAGCATGACATTTATTAGATAATGTTCAATTTTTAGTTGTGGAGCAGTATAAGGCCAAAAATCATTGAGCTACCTGGCGACCAACAGGTCTAGTGTTGCATAGCAGAAAAGAAAGTGGGAACATAAAGTCTCTTTTAAACTCCAAAGATTTCAGGGTAGCATCATTAATGAGTCCTCCATTGATTCCTCCAGTTATCCTCTTAAGAGATAAGGAATTACTAATGCATGGCCAATTGTGCTGAGGCTGCATAAGACTATGTCTTCCACAGGCAGCATTTTTCCTGTCATATGGTTAGCAAAATGATAATCCCTTCAAGCCAATTCGCAGGATTTTAATTAATTTCATCTTCAAAGCACTAAAAAGAACAATGTCAAGATTAGTAATACTTTGCATCCCAAAAATGACTGGACCACACATGTGATAACCAGCTAGGTTGAAACTAAAGGCATAGAACAAGCTCGTCACTACCTTACGGTAGAACTGCTCAAAATGTGCTCTCTCTAAATCCATAATGAGGTCAAAGTTCTAGAAGTATATGTTATGAATTTAATCAACACTATTATCGTTTAAAGGTGTACGACAATAGTTAGCCACAATATTGATTATAACTGTTACAGTCATATTTAACATTTTTCCTTTGAGTAGGCGCTGAGTTCTGCATTCCAACAGTCTTTGCAATGAAGTCCATTCAATAACATTCATATTGCAAAAAATTGCAATTAACATTATTAAATCACACAAGACAACAAGAAATGATTGATCTCCCCTATCATAACAGGCCTAAGTGAATCAGTTGCATAAAATTTGTGAGGTCCTAACTTACCTTGTTGGTCCATCAATATTGTCCCAAGTATCAGACTCGTGCAAAGAATAATCACCAACTGCCACCACAATACCCAGCTGATAATAACCAGAAGCTGTTGCTTGGAACCATCCCAACTCAATCTTAACACCATGGAACTCAAGTTGAGGATTTGCATGGCTATTTATCCAAGAAACAACAGGATCTAGTGAAGTGCGAATTGATCCATGCCTCACTGTCCTTAACTGAGCATTCAGTCCAGCCACCAAGCGATTCCAAACAGTTGCTGGGACATGCTGTGGCCATTGATTTTGGGATTAGCACGTCAGTAATGAATATAGAAGGAAAAAAGAGACTGACTAAAATTGAAGAGTAGCAACAATTGAGAGACCTGGCCTATGAGGTTGGTCAATAGTGTATCATTGTGAATATTATAAGGTGCCATGTAACTTCCATTCCCACCAAATATTATGCACATAGGAAATCTCTTTTTAATAATTGAGACAATGTCTAACCGCTTCTCATCACCACCAAGAAAAAAATCAATGTATGCTACCATCAAATCTGGTGTTGCCCCAACCTGCATGATGGTTTCACAAATTGACAAGGATGAGATCGACATCAATATACAGTCTGGGGAAACCCCTATTAAAATATCTTTCAATTTGATACCCTTTGTCTGGAAAAAGCATAGTAGATTTTTATACATAAATAAAATTAATGCCAATGTTTAATATTCGCATGGTTTTATTTTTATGACGATAAAGGAATCCAGTCTGTTGAACAGGACATCATCTCATTAATTAAATTATTTATAACTTACATGCTGCAAAAAGGAAGCACATTGACAATCAAATATAATTCGTTTGACTGGGGAGGAAAAGATTTTTAACAGAGAAGCAGAACCATAGTTTACTGAGAGAGAGAAAGAAAGTGGAAACATCAATCAGTACTGTTAGAATTAATAGTAATGAATTGATGCATATGTAAATTATTGAGCTTTGATATGGACATCTACTCAGCGCGTATACCATTTTCTCATATCTTACCAAAACAAAACTTAAAGTGAAATATTTATCATGAAAAACTTAAGATTATTGCATTGAACAGCAGCACTGTCGACTTTGTGTCTTCCAAATTCATTCTCAACTATATTAGAAACAATCTAGGAAATTCACAAACCTTCATCCCTTTGTACAAAGCACGTGATCTACAGGAGCGTAGGCATGAATGGTCATATTCAGACTTGACGTATTCCTGAAGGCGACTGACTTTTACTCTCCTTCGCCACTGTTTCCAGGACCAAGCACAAGGATATGCAACAACTGAAAGTATACTGTGTACTGATCCCTCCCACCAATCATATGCAGCAACTGAGTTGATCTCGTCAATGAATCTGTTAAAAGCATCCTCATACCTGCACCCCAAATTGGACCAGATCTTAAAAGATCTTTTGACTAATATTACACAGGACTTGAATACTGACGAATTCTTTATCTTCCCCAAAAGGGGCGTTTTGAGCTTTGTCATATGAGTGCTTGTTGTAAAATCATTCATATGGAGTGTCTCTTGGAGCAATACTTTTATAATAAATGGAGGAGTATTTGGTCAGCAGATACACGATAAGATATGGCGTTAGGACCTATAACATGCATGCATGAATATGCAAGTTCTCTTACACAATTTCTATTATCGCATGAGGAGGTGAGTAAGGAAGATGCCAGGGCTCTCTAAAAGTATTAGGGCCCATGAAGTACATCCTGTGCACATGACTTTGAGTTTCTTCAGCTCTGGCTCCCCGCACCTAGTTTTTCAACAAAACTGAATGCATCAAACACTTATACTTAAGTGCAATTACAGATACAGATAAAACTAGATGTATCAGTGAAATTTTTGTCTTAGCACCTCAGATAGGGAGAGAAGGTATGGAAAATGGTGGTGATTATGTTGCTCAATTGAACTTGCACTGTGATATGTACCAGAACCAACCAACTTGATTCTCAATGTACTTAGCAGTAGAGCCAAAAGCAACAAAATGAATGATAACAATACTGCAAATGGCCAGGGACCTCCAAAAGTATAAATAAGCTCCTCTAAAGTTGTATAGCAATTGGGTAACCTATATTTGTCAGATACACATTTATAGGGGCAAGACTTATTCCTAACTCCGCCTGCAATGAAGATTGTCGCAACTATCAAAGAGAGAGCAGAAAATTATGCATATAAAAACAAGTTGCAATATCAAAGATACCTCGTAAATATATGAAATTTGCACGATTGGGAAGAAGATCAATGGGACAAGGAATGCAAAGATTCGCATCAGAACCATCAACATCTTTGTAAGTACCAATTGGGCATTCCTGAAAACTCAATTGCTCCGTTTGATTAATTTCAGGACAAACTTTTACTGCATGCGAGAAAATAATTAGAACTCTGAGACAGCTTGAATGCTGTCCAAGTTCTATGCATAAGGACACCATGTAAGAAGAAAAGGAACATAAAATCACATGAAACAAACCTTACAAAAAGTGCCATATAGGCCCTTGGGGCATTCTTTCCCTGTAATGGTACCCCTCATTCCATGATGGCCACCGTTATTCCCACTGCCTCCACTGTTGAAAATCATAAAGGAAATATAATTTTTGGAATAACGAGCCCAATCTGTGACTGAATTATTTAAAATATTATGATTCAAATTCCTCAAACTAAGGTGGTTGAGCACCTCAGGAGAAAGAAAATAAAAAAACTGGGGGGGGGGGGTGAGGTTTGATGAACTAAGGTAGCTTTTGCAGCCAAAAGCATCCTGCTTTTTTGCGATGATGTTTCAATGAAGACATAGATCACTTTTATCAGCCAAAGCAAAAAACTAGTAAAGATAAAACTCATTTTCGCTAGTCCTTGGGGCAATCTAACAGAAAACCCAAAAAAAAAAAAAGCCTTTGACCATTATGCCAGTTCATTCTTCACTCACGGAAGAGTTATTACCCCAGGTAATAGCACTGCAAGATAAATGCTATCATTTAAATTTCTTCACTGTTTCACTAAGTCGTTTTTGGATGGCATTGCCAATTTGCAATGGAATCTTCTGCATTTATGTGGTGAACTTTTCTTTCTCTTTTGCAGTGTGTAAAAAAATCCAAGCATGCATTCTGCTGAAGCAGGAGGCCCTTCCAAGTATACTAGTTTAAAGTTCAAATTCAAAGTGTCCATTGCAGCAAGAACTGCATAATATCAGACAAGCTCCACAAGCATGGTAAACAAATTCTTCTTTAAATAACTCTTGAAATTCTCAACTTTTCAATAAATGATCATCATGAAGATGCAACTGTTAACCCAAGAAGAATAAGTAATATTTATGTTATATTTTGAAGCCACCATTTAAGATGTGATAGTATATACCTGTTGTTCATTAGGCCATGTATACTGGCAACAGGAACATACTCTTCACCAACACCAATCTTTGACCAATGGAAATGAATTCTCCCTCCCCCACCACCGCCACCTCCAAGGAGGCCACCATTGCCACCAACAACAGTTAGAGATGAATTCTCCAACAGCCTGAGTTCCTGAAGGAAAAGAAGTACCGTCCCACCAGAACCTCCTCCAAGACCCCCAACCAAAGAACCATCACCATTTTGCATTACTTTGCTAAAACTTTGACCGTCAGCCCTCATGAACCCATAAAGGTCAATCCTCAAAAGTGGCCACTGAATGGATCCCATTACTAGCAACAACAAAACATAAATTACTATAACCAGAGAATAACTTAAAAAAATGGACATTTTACTTTGCATAAATACCATAAGTGCAAAAAAATGGTAGAGGATGGGTTAATATTACATCTGTACTTGTGAACAATACAACTCTTTGCAACTCTAAACAAAGCCAAAACAAAAATTTTATCCTCGAAACAAATAAAACTAAAGTTATCTAAAACAAATTTACCAATCATTCCGCCTCCAACCACATGGCCATATGACTCATCTGGGCCCTTGGTTCCGCTACCCAGCTCACATGGAAGCCTAGCATTGCCATATACACTGCCACCATTACTCTCTCTCCCATTGAAATATCCAGACCCTCCTCTTCCACCATGACCAGCTCCCCCACCAGCTCCATTCAAAAAGTTTCCCTTTCCAATACCTTCAGTGCAACCTGAAAAAGGTCACTGTCTGATCAGAATCACAAATCTATGCTTTAACCAGACTAAGGTAAAAAGGACCAGCAAAATTGTTGAGCTCACCTAACTCAGAGGCTGTAATCATGCCATCAGCATCAACAATGACAGTCCTTGCCCTGTGGATGTGAATTATGCTTCCTTTCATAATGCCATTTACAAGAATATCCTCTACACGACATATCTGCAAAAAGTTTATTATGAAAAACACCCACCTCAAATTTCCATCCTAGCAGGATATTACAATTGGCAACAGCAGAGTTATTTAACTTGAATAATCAGCAATGGTTGAGGTGGTAAAAAACAAATAGTGTCATATGCTTCAAGCAAGACATTGAGAGGTCACCAAGGAAAAAAGGGATTCCCAGGAAAGTGACAGTAACTAAAAATTGTAATTTGAGTGTGCTTAAGCATAGACCTGTAATTACATTATGAATCTTACTTGAAGTGAGAAAGAGAGTGTATAATTGACATGGCAATCGTCAGGTGGAGTAATCAAATCTACAGGACAACTCTGGGTCTCACAAAGACTTTTTGTAACCCTAAAAGAAAACAAAATTAAAAATAAGTAAGTTTGTCATTGACAAGGAGTTCGCAGGCTGTTTGGAACTCAAAGTCATAAATCAAGCAATGCAACTAGAAGGTAGCAATACTTACGTGCCTCTACTTTCATTATCATCCAAAGGAGCCTGAAGTAAAGAACCTGGGCCAACCTGTCACGGAAGAAGGGATATTTTTTAATAAAATCAAATTTAATTGTAAAGAGATATACATACATATATATATATATATATATATATATATATATATATATAAAAGAGAAGGATGCACCATTTTTCTCATAATAAGATACACTACAAGTGAAAATAAAAGAGATGAATTCGGTTACAGAAAAGAGTACTGTCCATATTTTTTACATGCTGAACACTTCTATCCATCATAACTAAACACTTGACATTGCACCTAGACTCCTGGGATATTGTGATTGTAGTGTCCCGTCTCCAAATCAATACTATTATTTCGTAAAAGAACATCAAAATTTATGACTAAAACAATGAGACTCAGTGTCTAAGGAATTGCTTACAGTTATGTTATAAAATAGAGACAAGGAAAGTCGCTGGCCTTTGATTGCATCCCCATGACCGGTCAACCTCAGTAGCCCCTGACCATATAAACCTAAGTTTGCATTTGAACTTATGACAGAGTTTTGCTGCAAGTAGGGGAAAATCACAATCAGAAAGATTATTTCAAACCACCAGGCACCAAATATGATTCCAAGGACAAGTAGGCTAAAAAGTTTTTGGATGAAGACCATGATACCCTTAAAACAACCAGATTCCTGACTTCAAGAACTGAAGCAGTAACAATCCTATCCTCACCACCATCAATTTGGATTTTGGAGTTCCACATGAGTAACATTTTAATAGCAACTCTAAATGCACCAAAAACCTTCAGGTATTAAAGGTAAAACTGTTAAATCATGAGCCAAAAGTCTTAGCTTAAAAATACAAAAGTCCTAAATAATTAATGTCATATGGATTAAAAAAGGACATCGACTTGGGCAAAAGCATTTTCAATAACAATCTATTACCTTTATGATGGAATCACTCATTAAAAGTTCTTCTGCAACAAGCTCAAATTCAGAAATTGGATAATCTGACAACCCAAAGATTATGCTTCCTCCACGGTATACACTAATTTGGCCTCTTACCTTCACAATTAAAGTGTTTAAGTTATTAAGCATTAGGCTACAAGGTTAGATAAGCAAATAGAAATCAGAAAAAAATTTCCAAGGACTAATATTATAAAAATATATTATGCTAGAAAGATATTAACAGAGAAAACTGAAGCAAGAACCAAATTTATTATAATCTAATTTTACTGGGGAAAAAATGGCACCAGAAAAAAATGAAGAAAAAATGCTAAGATACATTAGTGTCTGAATTCATACAAGTGTCTTGTGTGTAAGACTTTCCTACCTGAACTCTGGACCAAACAAGAGGGACCAAAACTTTTGCATGATTCTCCACATAAACATTCGACCAAAGCGGGCGGGTTGAGAAGTCGAGCAATGGAGTGTCAGTTTCTGTTGTGAGATTATCATTGCTGACTCTCAGACTTAGTAAATTTGCATTGAAATATGTGCCAGCAGCTCCAGAATTCCCAGGACAGCCAGTACTCAAACCTCCTGTCACACCATAAATGCATATATTATACATAAGCTTCTTCTTGCTCAAAGCAATATTAAAAAGGGAGCACTAGATGTGCTATGAAATGAAACTAATAAAGATGCAAGTATGAAGATATCATGAACCAATTCTTATTCTTATTTTTTAAAGAAAAGTCAATCTAAAACTAAAATGACTAAATGCGTGTGTGTTGGGGGGGGGGGGGGTGGGGCGAGTGTTACTCTGCTTGCAGTCAATCTAAAACTAAAATGACTAAATGCATGGGACCCTGCCACTAGGCATCTCTCTCTCTCTGTGTGAAGTTATTCTGCTTGCAGTCAATCTAAAACTAAAATGACTAAATGCATGGGTTACTGCCATAAGCATTTCTGAGTGTGTACGCGCGCAAGTAAAGGTGAGTGTTAATCTGCTTGCCTCTGAGGTGGAGCTATGCGTCCTCCTCTTTTAAATGGAAAAAGGATCCATCATTTCAGATTAAAACAAAAAAGCATTCAGTCACTGGAAACACGAACACTCAAATGATTGACAAGGAAAAAAGCCTTATTTTATTTCTCTAAGTGGCTATTTAGCATAAAATCCATTCCTTGCTTTATACTATCCATGTTTCTCCCGTGTTGCTTCATCTGACAACGAAGAAGATGAAGAGCAATTTCGGACAGACCTCAGAGTCTAAAGTGATGCTAGCAAGAGACCCAAGGGGCATTGTTATAGATAAATTTTGCAGCCAACATATAATGATTTCTAAGTACCTTCAAATAAGATTGTCCTCCAAATTATTCATTCTTTTCCATATAAATCAAGCTTAACATTCTTTTAATTCTTTCAATAGAATTAAATAATAAACATCTATCATGACCAGCCATAGGTTTGATTGCCAGGTACAGAAGTGTACTGATACAAACCATGAACAGAAACTTTTAAATCTTCTTGTATGCTGTAACAATCAAGTGATATTCTTCCTCCACCACCACCACCCCAGCCCTTCCCACCAGCAGCACTGATAATACCATATCCCTTCCTACACTCATCCAGAAATGGGAAGTCCAAGAAAAGTTAGAAGTGCAATTCGAGCTCTTCTAGTGAGCAAACTGGAAGGCTATTTAAGTATGCATTTTAAATAAACATAAAGCATCACTTTAATTATTCATAATAGCTGGTAGCATTAATTATCCCACATGAACATTTAAATTTAGAATTTCACATATCATATTACCATAATGATTTCAAAATAAATATCCTACTTCCTAAAACTTGGAGAGGATTATTAAACAATGGTGATATATAAATTCCGTAATCGTCATTCAGGAGGGGATTTTGAAATTAAAATGGCACAGTAGTGCTATTGGTGGTTTTGCAACCATGCTTTTTGACCCTAGTCCTTCGCAACTGTTTAGCCGGTCAATGTACTTGTATAAAATCTCTGATAGATCTCATAAGAGTAATACTGGACTGCTTACCACCAATTATCACAGAATTCCCAAAAAACCAGTCTGATTTCTCATCTCAAATTCAGTGGTGGATCTAGGAACCATGATGAGTGGGAGCACATTATTTTATAAAAATTTTCATTTAAAAACAATTTATAACTTTATGTATATCATTAAAATAACATATTTTCATTTGAACTTTTCAATTATAACAATAAAATTAACCGACTAATAACATTATGATTTTTCCTTCTTAAATTTAAATGGGGTAATCTTCCAATATTAATAGTTTCACCACGTAAATACTCATGAGAGATAGTTCCGTAACAACTTATGTAATACATAACAATGATCCATTGAAAAAATATCTAATGAATTGTCACAAACCATTATAACATCTTAATGAAATGCTAAGAATAACACCTTAGAGGAAAACCAGTTTATCTGAGGGGAGATCAAATCATCCCACAAGTGTTGTTCAGATATTAGGGATCAATTGTATACAAGGATGGTAAAATTGATGGAGACATTTCAAATAGAATACAAGTTGGATGGTTCAAGATAAGAACGGCTACTGGAATGAAATGTGACAAGAAGGTACCTAATAAGCTTAAAAGGAAGTGTTATCGAATAGCTATAAAAACAGCAATGTTATATGGTAATGAATGTTGGACTTTCTTATCTAAGAATACATAAAAATATATTATTTATAAAGCTACAAACACTATTTAATTCACAAACATGTAAAAAAATTTATAGTGCCTTGAAATACAACGGTTTCAAAGGCCCAACTAAAAATAATATATCAACATTTTAAATTAGATTACTATATTATTAAAAGAATAGTCAAAAAAAGCATCACAGGTGTGCCCATATCAAAGATATAATCATATAATGACAATCAGAAAAACAATATTAAACAATGGGGTAGCAAAAGAAAAGGAACACCACTAAACTAAATTTAACTGAAATTTTAAGGTAACAAAAAAGAGAAAAATGTTATTTGCACCCAAAAAAAAAAAAAGACAGAGAGAAAAATATCATGAAGAAAAAGGAAAGAGAAAAAAGAAGACAAAAATTACGCTTGTAAATTTTTTATAACTTGGAAGTTAAAATGTTAAATACAAATTTTCATGTGTGAATTCAATAAAATCAGGGACCCAAAAATTCAATGAATTTAGTGGATTCAAAATTATATAATACATGGGCAAGTAAAAAATTATATACATATATTACCATAAATATACTACCATAAAAAGTGTTGGCAAAAAAAAAAAAAAAAGTACTTCCTCAGTTCCTCTGGCACGGTTGATCATTTTCATAAATTAGACTTTGCACATGTTTGAAAATTTAATTCATTTTTTCCCTTTTTACACCCACTGTATTAATTATCACATGTTGGCCAATTTATTCTCTACTGGTAGACTCTCTCTCATCTCTTTTTCCACACATCCTCTCTCATCTCTTTTTTTACTAATTCTCTCTCTCTCCCCCTCTCCTTAAATAAAGGTATATTTGGGCCAAAAATACATTCCCTACACGCCTATTGCTTTTAGCTAATTTTATTCAACTTTTTAATTTAGGCAATTCAGTTATTTGTATCTTATATATAGGACCGGATGGAGTATATATTTTCTTCTAGGAGGGGGTGGGAGCTCCACCAGTGCATCAATTCATGATCCAGTATTTTGATGTAATCTACAGAATTTCAATGCATATCCATATTCATACTATAATACAAACAATAGTATATAGATCCTACTCCGGGTCCTACTTATAAATCACTTCCAACATATCTCAGACAGACCCCAAAAAAGAAAAAACCTTCAACTTCATTAACTCTCTTTTATAATTTAACAACTTTTCAACTTCATCTCTGTTTTATATACATTATACCCCTTGATAACAAAGTCCACATAATAATAAGTGACAAGTAAAATTGTAACATGAAAAAGTTTCTCTCTTTCCTAGAAATAGGACAAAAAAATTTCTTCTCTTTGTCCTATAAATAGGACTAAAGGAGTAGGTGAGGATGATAATGATTATAAATCACCAGGGCTTATTAGTAAAATTGACTCTCGAAGGATGACCAATTGATAGAGACCAAGATAGTAAGGGATGGCTAGATCTCATATTAAATAGCATGGGATGTTCTGCATTGTACCCAAGCAGATTGGTTTTTCCACCTCAATAGCTAGTTCTTGGGAGGGTTCCCTATCCATTGGAAGCCCATTAGACCGAACAGAATATTTTCCCATATATGCTATTATGTTTTAAAGGGAAAGTGTATAATATCCTTTAGGAAGTAATTTGGACATCCGTAATTGAAAAAACAGACCTTCTGCATTATGTAAAAATGAGACAACTTTAATGCATAAGCATACAATTAACTAAACTAGAATTGACCAGTCAACAAGTATGTATGACTGCATGCACCTAGTAGCTCTAGCAAAACATGAAGTGGGCAATAACTTTTCAACTGCTTGACAAAAAAAGACAATAGTAGTCAAGGATTTAAAAAATACAATTACCTACGTATGAGTTAAGAGTTAAGATAATATTCTTAAAACAAATAAGGTGAATCAAGATAATAAATGCTGACAAAAAAAATCATGATAATAAATCCCTCAACCAAGTGAAACATGTTGAATATCTACAAGGAAGTAACCCCAAAAGACATCATGGACAGATGAGCTTAATGCTGAAGAAAATCCATGAGAAAAGATATTTGAAGTTTTGAACATCATGACTTGTGGCTTGTTATTTAATAATCTAGACTCTAGATATCTTTTCAAACGCAACAACTCTAGTAGTGATTATGTTGCGACGATCAATACTACCGAACCTCAATGTTTTAAAATGTAACACATTATTAATTAATAGCAATAAACATGCTTCAGATATTATGAGACACTTTGTAATCAATAAGTATGAGGTCACAAGTACACAGATATATGGTTGATACTTACAGCTTTAGGGCATGTATTATTATACTTCCACCAGACCCACCACCCCCATCAGACCCTCCATCTCCACCTGCTGCAGTAACAGAGCCATTTATAAACAAAGTGTCATTCACTAGAAGCTTAATACGCCCCCCACCATTCCCTCCGAGTTTTTTCAGAGCAGATTTTCCGCCACCCTTACTGCCATAACACCATGGTTCAGACAAAGTAGACCAAGCATAAACATCACCACCCCAGTTTGTGGTATTATCTTTTATACAGGATGCTCCACGCCCACCATGCCCTCCCCCAGCCCCATCATAGCCATAAGGAGTGCCGCTAGTTTGGGAAGGTGGTGCCCCACCCAAAGATGATGTGTTAATAGATGAACCATACTCCATAGACATATTGGCTGCTGATAAAACCACAGAACCAGCAACAATAGATGCATACTGACCAAGTTTAATGTTACCAGACATATTGAATATTATTGTGCATCCTTCCACCGGACATGATATAGAAGCATGAGGGAGTATCTCCAGGTTTCCAACTCCATATATGTGAATATCGGAATCCAAATGAAAAGTTGAACTTAGCAAACATGTAGTATTAAATGATCCTACACCTTCCAAGTCCTCACAAGATACTGACTCATTCAATGGAAATGACGCAGATGATATTTGAACAGATACAGAGTGATGGAATGGAGAAAAATCGCTTACAAGGGACCCAGATTGACCTAGCTGGTCTTCTGAGCCAGTACTCCTATTCCTATGCTGTCCCAAAATGAAAGATGTATGAAGATATCCAAATACAATGCAGCACCAAAGGTACCTATGCATTACCACAGAGTGCATCACCAACTATAGCAACTATGTATCAGGAGATGTCCAAATGAAGTAATGTTTCAATCAGCTAAGTAGTTGGTGCAGACATTTATCCTGCAAGGTTTGTTTATGAATTCCACCAGCACAAAGATTTAATCAGTTGCCAAGGCTGCAAATTTTGCACATATTCTGCGACCAAAGGAAACATCAGAGTAGAGGAGTGAGAGAATAAATCGGTTGTTAACCTGTACTCATAAGATTATACAAGGTGTCATGCAGAAAGAACAACTACAGTGTGAAGTAGAAGCTTGTAAAAGCAAGGATTTACAAATATCCACCAAGGAAACTACATAAATAGCCTTCAGGATTTAACTTAAAAACCATCCAGCAGCCAAAAAAGAATTCCATCCATAATAGGAACTAAACTAAATAAGCAATTTGAAAAACTAGGGATATCACCAAATTCAGCCTTGTGAAAGCATGATTGAGTCAATTGCATTCTTTATCATGAGTTAGAAATTCCTATTCTGCAAGTTCTCCTAAATTAGGCCATCATAGGTCTAATAATACAAATCAATGCAGCTAGTCATGATAATCCCTCATTGTACTATAGGCTAGATATTCAATTTTACAAGAATAACCACAGAATATACATGATATATGATTTTTTCTTTTAAAAAAAAAGGTTTTGACTAAACAGGTGCTAGATAATAAAATATTTAAGAGTGAAATTAAACCGCATGAGAGTCATGAGTCTTAGCCTTGGCAACTGGCAACATATATAGACATTGCCTCACTTCTCTTTTACTATGATCACTTATCCACAGCATAGCTGGAAAGCCAGCTCTGGCAACTATTCAAATATGAAATTATTCCTTCTATCAAAGGCAGTCGATTACGCGGAAGTTTCTAATGAAATTGGGCACGCAGAGGAGCAACTATGGGGAAGCTGGATTGAACGTTACTTCGGTTAATGCCCCAGCCATCATGCTTTGCTGATAGAAATTTTGTACATTAGCTGAAACAATTAGAAGGGCTTGAGCAGATATTATCAACGCACTTAATCCACATCCATGCATATACACTGTACCAGGTCCACAAATCTCCTTTAGTCATATTGCTTTCTTCTTTCCCTCATCGTTTCCATTAATTATGCATAATTAGAGGCTTGCGCGCTCTTGCTGAGTGATGTAATGCGACAACAGTGAAATTCCAATTCATAGACCACGCTGTGCCTAGCTTAATCCAGAATCCATTAGAGAATGTAAAAAAGAAAACCAAAGAACATTATCGAAAAATCATTGAAGCGATGTGCAGAGTTCAAGTGTGATCGCAGCAGAAGATCGATCAATCAAATCATCCAACTAAAAAAGTTCCGCCAGCCAAATCAACAGCCATAAATAGCTCTAAGCATGACAATAAAACGCAATAAACAAAATCTCGGACGCCTTACATGCAATACTTGTACTGGTACAGTCAGAATTCCACTAAGCAGAAGGACTGAACTGACCGTTAAAAGAAAGGAGGAGATAGTGAAAATTCCACTGAATCTTTGCGGGAAGCTTCCTTTTTTTCCTCTCTGATATTGTAGTGGCTCCTGGTCTAAGTCAGAGTCAGAGGAAATGGCGACCGCTTTCCCTTTTGTTTTTGTTTTTTGTTTTTAATTTGTCCTTCTTTTTTCACTTTTCCTTTTCGTTTGGAATTACACAGAAAGCTCAGAAACAGCAAAAGGAGGAGAAAAGGAAAAGTCACTACGAGTCGAAGCTACGTTTTGCGCAGCTGGATTTTGATACATATTCACGCGAGTTTTTCCGCATTATTGGGTATCATTATATATTTGCCCTCCATCTTTGTCGAAATATCGTGACTGCCATTCATTTTTGACTTTCCTTTTTCTCTCAAAGAAAAGAGAAAACAATTGGCTGCCAGCCAGATATGTCATTTAGCCATCTGATCCCTTTTATAGAGTAGCGGAAGAAAAAATTTCTTAATTCTTTTTATGATTCATTTTATTAAATTTTTATCATAAACATACTATTTTGTTCTTTATTTATTATAGTATAGATAGTAATTTTTTAAAAATGTGTACATATTAAATAAATATAAAATTAAAGAATTGTTATATTTTAACAAAAAATAAATGTATTTTAAAATTTTTTTAGTCCATGTGAAATTACTGAAAGTGCCTCATAAATATAACCAAAAACTACCAAATAAGAAAGAACACAAATTTTTTTTTTTAAATGTCAGTAAAAAAATCATTTTAAACACAATAGTAATTTCTTAATTAGTACTACCTCCGTTTCTTAATATAAGAGCTAGTTGATTAATTTGAGTAGATTAAAAAATTAGTTATATTAGTTATTTGTAATAACTAGGTATTATTTTTCCTAAAATATTCTTACTAATCAAATGTATTAGCTAAAATTATTATTATTAAAAGAGCTATTTTAAAAAAAATTGGATAAATATGAGAGATAAAATATATTAAAATTTTATATCTAGAATCAAAATAAAAATCAAATAAGATCTTATATTAAAAATCAGAAGAAGTATCACTGTGTGAATTTCAAGGGAAAATGACGGTATATAATATGACAATAAAGATAACACGTAACAAAAGAAAACAAAGGCACCCAAAATAAAGTTGAATACCAAGAAACGAGAAGTTTCGCTTTAATTATTTAGCAGAACAGGATAATAAATCATGTCTTTTCCGGGCGATTCAATAGCTATAAGCAAACGTTTGGCCAAAAAAAAAAAAGCTATGAGCAAACGTTTGGCCCAAAAAAAAAAAAAGCTATAAGCAAACATTACTTGTTTTATCGGCATTTTTTTTTTTGGAAAAATGATAATAAAATACTTTCTGAATTTCAAAACGACAAATAAGACATTCGAATAAATAAAATGACAAAGAAGGCATCAAGTACTAATCTGGGATTTTGATTTTGAATTTTACAAGACACATAGTGGGATTTACAGCTTTCATAGTGAGAATTACTGCTTCTTCACTGGATTTTGCAACCAGTTTTGAAGGGCTGAGTCAAGTTTTCTGTAATTTTACAAACACATAGTAGGACTTACAACTTTTATAGTGAGATTTACTACTTGGTTTATGGGTTTTGCAACCTGTTTTGAGAGGTTGTGCAACTTTTCTGTAAAAAACAATACAATTCCATGTTGAATTTTACAAAACATACAGTGGAATTTACAACTTTCATAGTAAAAATTATTACTTTGTCAATGGATTTAACAACATGTTTTGAGGCCAAAAATCAAAATTCCAGATTGATACCTGATGTCTTATTTGTCATTTTGTTTATTCGAATGCTTTATTTGTCATTTTGAAATTCAAAAGGTATTTTATTATTATTTTTCCTTTTTTTTATAACAAGAGAAAGTAAGAAAATGTTCTATTGGCATTTGCTCAGCCGCAACCACCATAAGGACAGAGCTTGTGCTAAATACTCCTCCAATTTTAAATATAAAATTTATTTTGTAGTATAAATTATATTATAAAATGAGTCTTATATTTAGGATCGGAGAAAGTACTAATTACTACTCTCTCTAATTTTGTACATAAAATATAAATATAAATATAAATCATTAAATTAGCTTAAATATAATAAATATATTAAAATATATATTTTAAAAAATAACACTTAAATATGGGGAGAGAGTAGTTGAGACTTGAGAGGAAATGAATAGAAGAAAAAATAATTAATATAAGAAAAAAATAATTAATATAAGAGTGATTATGTAATCAATAAGACAATTAGTTCAAAAATTGGGGAAAACATTGGTTAAAATTTCAAGAGAGAATCTCCAAAAAAAAAACCTTTTGAATTTTAAAATTCTAAATCAGTATTATTTACTACACTTTAATAACAATTGACAACAATTAAAAAGCAAATGACAACACATTTTTATAGTTATTTTTTATTTGAAAATTTAAAATTTCAGAAATATTCTTTTGGAATTTTCTCAAATTTCAAATATACTTTATAAATAAGGCTATGTTATACCTGCTCAAAAATATTTTGCCGTACTTCCTCTATTACTCATTATAAGTTTCAAATAACTAATTTATGTATAATAAAAAATTACATAAAAGCAACAAATAAGTAGGAGTGAACATTCGGTTTTTCGGTTCGATTATTGGTGATAACCTAAATAACCAAATAGAGTAAATTTTAAACACCAAACCGAAATCAATTAACTGAACTAACCGAAAACCGAATTAAACAAAATATTTTGGTTCGGTTAACTGATTAATAGAAATATATAAATATGAAAATTGATTTTAAATTTAAAATAATAATAAAACATAATTACAAAAATTAATTAATAAATATTTTATCATTCAATGTGATTTATTAAATAATATTTATTATAATCATATTTATTGAATATAAATATATTTAAAAAGTTCACATAAACCCACATATATATTTATTATTATAATACTTATTAAATATAAATATATAATATATATTTAGGTTTTTCGGTTATAACTGAAATTTTTTTCTATTAACTGAACTGAACACCAAAACCGAATTGTTAAAAAAATAAAAACCAAATATGTAACTGAAAACCAAAATAACCGAACCAAAAAACTGAAATTGAATTCAATTCGGTTCAGTTTTTTATTACAGTTCGGTTTTGCTCACCCTTATAAATAAGTAAGAAATATATATTTATTTTTAAATATATTATTATAATAAATGAGAAAAATAATGAAAGAAAATGTATAGAAAAATATAATGAAAGAGTTTGACAAATAAGATAAAATAAATGATAAATAATAAATAATTAAGAATAAAATTAAAAAGAACGTATCAAATGTTGAGATAAACCTAAATATTAAAATAAACTTAAATTAAAATTTATAAAATATACAGTATGCTTTTTTCAAAATTTTGAAGCTCGTGAGAGGACCTGAGGATTATTGATCAAAGGTTATTGGAAATGAGCAAAAGAGTAATTGCGCATTCATTAGAATTAAAAATGTAATTAAAGAGGCAAGTGGGAGCAAAAGCACAAGAGGAAGAAA